AGGCTTAGCTATTTATGGCATAAGCTTAGCTATTTGTGGCATGGGCTTAGCTTTTTGTGGCATAAGCTTATCTTTTTGTGGCATAAGCTTATCTATTTATGGCATAAGCTTATCTTTTTGTGGCATAAGCTTATCTATTTATGGCATAAGCTTATCTTTTTGTGGCATATCTATTTGTGGCATAAGCTTATCTTTTTGTGGCATAAGCTTATCTATTTGTGGCATGGGCTTATCTTTTTGTGGCATAAGCTTATCTTTTTGTGGCATAAGCTTATCTATTTATGGCATAAGCTTATCTTTTTGTGGCATAAGCTTATCTATTTATGGCATAGGCTTAGCTTTTTGTGGCATAGGCTTAGCTATTTGTGGCATGGGCTTAGCTATTTGTGGCATAGGCTTAGCTATTTGTGGCATAGGCTTAGCTAATTGTGGCATAAGCTTAGCTTTTTGTGGCATAGGCTTAGCTTTTTGTGGCATAGGCTTAGCTATTTGTGGCATACGCTTAGCTATTTATGGCATAGGCTTAGCTTTTTTTGGCATAACTATTTGTGGCATAGGCTTAGCTATTTGTGGCATAGGCTTAGCTATTTGTGGCATAGGCTTAGCTATTTGTGGCATGGGCTTAGCTTTTTGTGGCATACGCTTAGCTATTTATGGCATAGGCTTAGCTTTTTTTGGCATAACTATTTGTGGCATAGGCTTAGCTATTTGTGGCATAGGCTTAGCTATTTGTGGCATAGGCTTAGCTATTTGTGGCATGGGCTTAGCTTTTTGTGGCATAGGCTTAGCTTTTTGTGGCATAGGCTTAGCTATTTGTGGCATAGGCTTAGCTATTTGTGGCATAGGCTTAGCTTTTTGTGGCATAGGCTTAGCTTTTTGTGGCATAGGCTTAGCTATTTATGGCATAGGCTTAGCTTTTTTTGGCATAGGCTTAGCTATTTATGGCATAGGCTTAGCTTTTTTTGGCATAACTATTTGTTGCATAGGCTTAGCTATTTGTGGCATAGGCTTAGCTATTTGTGGCATAGGCTTAGCTATTTGTGGCATGGGCTTAGCTTTTTGTGGCATACGCTTAGCTATTTATGGCATAGGCTTAGCTAATTGTGGCATAGGCTTAGCTTTTTGTGGCATAGGCTTAGCTTTTTGTGGCATAGGCTTAGCTATTTATGGCATAGGCTTAGCTTTTTTTGGCATACGCTTAGCTATTTATGGCATAGGCTTAGCTTTTTTTGGCATAACTATTTGTGGCATAGGCTTAGCTATTTGTGGCATAGGCTTATCTATTTGTGGCATAAGCTTAGCTATTTGTGGCATACGCTTAGCTATTTGTGGCATACGCTTAGCTATTTATGGCATAGGCTTAGCTAGTTATGGCATAGGCTTAGCTTTTTGTGGCATAGGCTTAGCTATTTGTGGCATACGCTTAGCTATTTATGGCATAGGCTTAGCTTTTTGTGGCATAACTATTTGTGGCATAGGCTTAGCTATTTGTGGCATAGGCTTAGCTATTTATGGCATAGGCTTAGCTTTTTGTGGCATAGGCTTAGCTTTTTGTGGCATAGGCTTAGCTATTTGTGGCATAGGCTTAGCTTTTTGTGGCATAGGCTTAGCTATTTATGGCATAGGCTTAGCTATTTGTGGCATAGGCTTAGCTTTTTGTGGCATAGGCTTAGCTTTTTATGGCATAGGCTTAGCTATTTGTGGCATACGCTTAGCTATTTATGGCATAGGCTTAGCTTTTTGTGGCATAGCTATTTGTGGCATAGGCTTAGCTATTTGTGGCATAGGCTTAGCTTTTTGTGGCATAGGCTTAGCTATTTGTGGCATAGGCTTAGCTATTTGTGGCATAGGCTTAGCTTTTTGTGGCATAGCTATTTGTGGCATAGGCTTAGCTTTTTGTGGCATAGGCTTAGCTATATATGGCATAGGCTTAGCTATTTATGGCATAGGCTTAGCTTTTTGTGGCATAGGCTTAGCTATTTGTGGCATAGGCTTAGCTATTTATGGCATAGGCTTAGCTTTTTGTGGCATAGCTATATGTGTCATAGGCTTAGCTATTTGTGGCATAGGCTTAGCTATATGTGGCATAGGCTTAGCTTTTTGTGGCATAGGCTTAGCTTTTTGTGGCATAGGCTTAGCTTTTTGTGGCATAGGCTTAGCTATTTGTGGCATAGGCTTAGCTTTTTGTTGCATAGGCTTAGCTATTTGTGGCATAGGCTTAGCTATTTGTGGCATGTGCTTAGCTTTTTGTGGCATAGGCTTAGCTTTTTGTGGCATAGGCTTAGCTATTTATGGCATAGGCTTAGCTTTTTGTGGCATAGGCTTAGCTATTTATGGCATAGGCTTAGCTTTTTGTTGCATAGGCTTAGCTTTTTGTGGCATAGGCTTAGCTATTTGTGGCATGGGCTTAGCTATTTGTGGCATAGGCTTAGCTATTTGTGGCATAGGCTTAGCTATTTGTGGCATAGGCTTAGCTTTTTGTGGCATAGGCTTAGCTTTTTGTGGC